CGCCCTGGCACAGGCTGCCCAGGGGGGTTGTGGAGTCTCCTTCTCTGGAGATATTCAAACCCCACCTGGACGAAGTCCTGTGCAACCTGCTGTGGGTGACCCTGCTTTAGCAGGGGGGTTGGACTGGATGATCTCCCGAGGTCCCTTCCAACCCCTGCCATTCTGTGATTCTGTGAACCCGTGTGGGGCAGAGCCGGGGTGGAGGTGGGGAACGCTCGATCGAGCCATCAGCTGGGGTCCCAGGACGTGGGGCGTCCTCCCTATGCGCTGAGGGGGTGTTTTGGGCAGCCCCGAGGCCAGGCCAGGCCACCCCTGTGCTCCCTGCTGGGACTGCGCACCAGCTGATGCCCGCATCACTGCTGTTCCCACTTGGTTGCTCACAGAAACTCAGAGCCGGGGTGGAGGTGGGGAACGCTCGATCGAGCCATCAGCTGGGGTCCCAGGACGTGGGGCGTCCTCCCTATGCGCTGAGGGGGTGTTTTGGGCAGCCCCGAGGCCAGGCCAGGCCACCCCTGTGCTCCCTGCTGGGACTGCGCACCAGCTGATGCCCGCATCACTGCTGTTCCCACTTGGTTGCTCACAGAAACTGAGGCTGAACATACCCAAACCAAGTGGCTGACTTCATGTTTCTGTGTATTTCTGGAAGCTGTAGCAAATTCTGCAGTTTCTAAAGTGCTGCTGCAGGTCATGAGATGTTTACAAGAGCTACCAGTAACTCAGGAAAGTCAAGCTCAAGGTAGTTGCCCTGTTGGACCAAAAAGCGCTGACATCAGGATTTTAGTAATTGAAACATTTATTCCTGTACGGTGTTTAGTGTTTAGCACAGGCTTATTTTTGGTAAGTTTAGTGATAGTCCTGCATTTTTGGAACATTCAGGTGGTATAGGCAAATTCTCGGTTTGGATCTCAGAAGGGAAACATTTGAGCAATGTATTGCCTGTTTCTCACTGGCCACACATGCTCTTTCTTTGAATTTCTTAAAGCTTTGATGGAGAGCAGCATTTTTGTGCATTTAATCTAAAATTTTTGCCTCTTTCTCCTCTAATTCCCGGGAGGGAAAACAGGCATTGCTTTTTGGGAAGGGATGAGAGGGGAAAAAGAGAAATGTTTTTTTCTCGTAGCATTAGAGAATAAAACATACTGTTGTTGAGGTATGTTCTGTTAAAACCCAAATTATTTTTATTTGACTCTTGTTATTATTTCAACAAGTAATATTAATAATAAATTATTAAAGAAGTTCTCATGTTTCTTCCAGTGTTATACTTCCCCTGCCACAGAATGTGAAAGAATATTTGCTGGATGATGGAACGCTTGTGGTTTCCGGAAGGTAAAGAGTGTTTTCCCCCCACCCTCCAAGTATTAATACTATTTTATATTCACAGTGCTATTTTGTATCCACATATTATATTTTGCATAATGAGTTTTTAAAATTTGACCAGTCTGTCTGCAGTAAACCTCACGCTGCATGAGGATGTGAATGGGCCGACTGTTGCTGTTAGTAGAACTTGACTTGCTGGTGTGTGATGCAGATCCTAAAATCACAGGGTCATAGAATGGCTTGGGTTGGAAGGGACCTTAAAGATCATCTAGTTCCAACCCCCTGCCATGGGCAGGGACACCTTCCACTAGGTGTTCTACCTTCTAAAGCCCCGTCCAACCTGGCCTTGAACACTTCCAGGGAGAGGGCATCCACGACCTCTTTGGGCAACGTGTGCGAGTGCCTCACCACCAAATCCATGTAATATACTTCATTCTAGACCAAGTGGAGACAGTTATTTCATTTTTTCTCTGCCTTTCCTTGTGGAGTCTTCCAGTCTCTTGGGTGCACAGCCTGATGGTTTGTGTTTGGTTTGATACAGTTAGCTCCAATTCGGAGGCTTGACCTGTCCCACGCTGTTCACATGCCTGCTGCCTTATCCAGGGGTGAAGTGACATTACCTGAGTTTAATTCTCAATATAATAAGCTACATATAAAATCTTAGTAATTATTGAGTTTGTATAATCATTTGCATGCATATAATCCATGCACATGACAAGGCTGAATGTCCTGTGTGTATACCTATGCCAAGATTTTGGATGGAGAAGGTGGTGGTGGATAGAGATGAGAAACAGTTAGTAAGAACTCAGGCCTTGTTCTTTGTTTTCGGTAGTTTGCCTCTCACAGAGCAACAAATTAGGCTGTCAGTGTAAGGCAGCTATGTCTAATTTCTCAGGAATCATTTTATGTAAAATTGAAGCTGTTTAAACACCTTGTAGAGATGAGAGGTCTTTTTCAATTTTGAAATTCTTTTTCTTTAATAAAAGGTATCCAGAAAATCGGAATTGTTTTTTAAACCATTTTGAATAAGAAGTAATACCATCACTTGCTTCTGCAGAATTGTGCAACTTATTTAGCAGCAACCATTTATTTTTAATAAGCCTTCAGAAAAGCTGAAACTGAGGGTTTGATTTTATGACTATGTATTTCTGCTGTCTTCAGTGGAATAATGGACAGCTGTATAATTGACTTAAATTATATTTTTAAAGATTTTTCTTATTTAAAATCCCTTTTAGAAATTAGTTTTTCTCTGTTGAACTTTCTTAGCTAGAAGTGAATGTGATCTTCTTGCCGTCAAGGCCAAGATCGCTTTTGATCTTCACTGAACTGGTATCTGATCTCTAGATCTCAAAAACTGAATTGATAGTTTAATCCCTATGGAAGTGTGTTAAGGCACTGCAGACACTTAGCTTGTTGAAGAATTAACTTTTGTCAGGGGCATACATTTGAACTTACCCTGCTTGCTACACTGACTTGCTGTGGATAAGTCTTCTTCAAGACCTGGGTCTTCTCCTTTAAGATCTTCACGCTCAGTTATATTGGCTAAAGAACTTCAGAAGTCACCTAAAACTTCAAAGGAATATTAGCAATCAAGTGCTTTCTCCCAGATATGCTAATCTTTACAACAGGTCTCACCTGTGTAGAAAAAGGAACTTTTCTGGAAGAAGCTAATGACTGTGTATCCACTTTCCATAGGATCTTCTGTATGTGGAACGTTTTGATTTTAGAACCAGAAATTCACAGGTCAACATGTGAAACTCAAGTTTTAAAAATTTTTATTGGAAAAGGAGTATGGAGGCAAAGTGTAATTTAAATTGAACTTGTTTAAAAAAAAAAATTGTTGAATTTGTGCTGCTGTGAGAGTATAGTAAAGTTGGAAAAGAATGATTAATAAGGTGTTGAAAAGCTTCAATTATGGCTTTTCAGAGCAGAAAGTGATCTGCTAATTTGAAAGAAGCAAAATGTTTTGGGTAGTGCCCAAGTCTAATGCCAGGGTGTTTGGTCTTCAGTTGTCCGTAGTAGCTTGCTCTGATTTTTCTCTGCCAGGGGTTTTGAGGCTTAATCTTCTTACAAAACATTTTGAGATCAACATCTGGTAGATGCTGTGGAAATGTAATGTATGTGGTCAAGTCAAACTCCAGTGCTTAATTTTTTTTCCTGCTAATTTTTTGTTTTAGAGAAGATCCGCCAAGTCATGCTCAGGAGGGGACTGATGATGCAGAAGAAATACAGGTCAGTATAAAATGCAACTTAACGTCAAGTCTCTTGAGAAAAACATGAATGTGTAACCTTTTCTGCATGATTTATAGGTGAGGAGAGTGCTTCACAAAAATAAAAATCATGTGGTAGTTGTCCTGAAAAACTTGTCATTATTTGTACTGTGACATCAGGGAAGGTTTAGAATGTTTCTGTGCTCTTTCACAGAAGACTTTTTGTTTTGTTTTGGGTTTTGATAATTGCATTTGTAATAATGAGTAGGGACTATTGAAGGGTGTTCGAGTTGAACTTAATGCTGTTTCATGCCCTGAAAAATTAGGAGGTGGAGTACGTTTGGAGGAGTTATTTCAAGAAACAGTGAAAAGTTTCTGAGGCCATAATAGCTCAGAGGGTATTCTAGAAGAAAAATGCTGAAAAGTGTTGTAAGCAGAAGGTGACAGAAGGTACAAAAAGGAGGTGAAAAAGAAATGTAAGTGAAACGAATGGATCATGGGTCTAGAGATGGAAGTGCTGGAGCTGGAGTTCTGGAATGTCTGAGTTGGTGATATAAATCACAATTAAAGTATACAGGTGTTTTCTTTTATCCATACTTTAGAATAGTATTTCTGCCAAATACACAATATTTTTCCTGTCTTCATTTACAGCCCTAATAATTGGAGGGTGGTGATGTTACGCTACAGGAGCATCAGGGCAATGATTTGATCTGCATGTTGTAGGAAGCCATATGAATTCTGATGTTCTCATAAATTATAAAGGATGTCTCAGGAAACCAGTAACCTTTGATTTCTTCTTATTTTTAACAGTGGTCAGATGATGAGAATACCACAACGCTTAAGGTAAGGTCCTGTAAAAGCCTGACATGTGGGTTTGTCAGCAGTATCCTTTCTGCAACCTTGTGTTATACACTTGTTGCCAGTTAGAGCTATCTGTAGCTGTATTTAACATTTTTCATATCATTCTAGATGGATGGCAGTATATATGTCTGTAACTATAAAAAAGTTTTGCTGGCTTAATTTTATTTAACTAAAAAAAAATGCTTTTCTTCATTCCGAACAATCACACACTTGTTAGACTATAGGAAATGAACTGAAGTATGGCTCTAAATATAGCTGTCTTTCATTTTCACCACTTTGAATATCTCTCAATTACTTAATCAGACTGGGTGCAAAAGAAACGAAGCCCCTGCAGCTCAATTTTCACAGCTCTTCTCTTACACCTGTGCCATTATTTCCTCCTAAGTACATTTCTTTCTATCTTCTTTTTTTTTTTTTCTTTTCCTTTTCTTGTTTTTAATGCTCTCCTTGCACTGTGCCTGGCTTAGAATCAGCATCGTGATGGCTATGATCTTTTTTTACATCTTTTTTAAAAATTGCTGTTGCCTTATCATTGTCAGAGTAAATATACTTGCATCATTTGTCTGCCATTGATACTGTTACTTCAGTGCTGTTAGCCCACTGATGTTCAACATAGTGTTGAATTGCTTACAGTGGATTAGGTGCAATATAAACACAGCCCTGGTGAGTTGTGCATATTCTAGCACAAAATTTATAGCCTAGATTTTAAAAGTAATACATGCCAAATTTGCATGCACCAATAGCTTCAGTTCAAATATCTAAGCTTTGATAAAGTAGATGCCTTAGATTGTAAATTATTCAGAACAAGGATTTTGGTATCCATCTTTTGCAAAGCGCATGTAAATGTTGCCAAAGAAATAATACCAGGCTTTTGGATCAGGTTTAATTATAGTGTACAACACAATAAGGAAATATATAATCAAGAGGTATGATACCCATCAGAAGGATATAGGCCAAGCAGTTTCAGTTTAGCTAAGTAAGCATTGGGTACTGTGTATGGATGGCAGCTTTACAGCTTACATGTTACTGGGGCTGGCTGGGGTGAAGTTAACTTTCAGCTATTGCTGAACAGTGCTTGCGTAGCATCAAGGCTTTTGCTTTTCCCCGAATTGTTTTAAGGGGTATCGCATACTGTATGGCATCATGCTCAGCAATAAAAGCAGGGGTAGAGGAAGAAGAAGGGTGTTTTGGCCTCCAAGGTGGTTCTTGTTCGGAGACTGGCAGGGTATTGCCTTTTGCCAAACCTGGAACTTTGAAAATGGTTCATAATGAACCTGGTTTGTCCCCGTGGCTAGTTCCTACAAAAATACACCTACATTTGGGCAAGGAAAGAGACTCCCAAAGTAGAATTTCACGATGTGCTCTTTACCATCTCATAAATTGGGTAGATGATTGCTCTGAAGACTCCATCTGTGGCAAATATGCCTTCTCCACCTGAAAACCAGGGACTGCTCTGAGGCCAGTGAGTGAATGGAGATAGTGTTCTGTGCTTTTAAGAGTTGCCTGTTACCATTTTGGCAATGATAGAGAGTGAAGAAACAGTCTGTGTAAAATGCTGTTCTGCATTCACTGTCAGCCTAGGACATTCGTATCTTACTAACGATAAATCCCAGGTTGCAATTCTCTATTGGTTTCTCAGGGAGCAGTAAGGTGGGCTGTGGCTGTAGTTATTCTAATTTGATGAGTTGCCCGAGTTGTCAGGTAGAACTTGTTTTCCGTGCCCCTTCTATATTCTGAAGAAGAATTAGAATATAAGATTACAAGAAGTTCTGTGTTTAAAAAAAATGTGCATTAATATTGTTGGTTGCAAAATCAGGCATTCAGAATGTAGGAAATGTTAGAATCTAGCTTGTTTATGCAGTCTTAGAGCTATCATCTTGTGTGTATTTCTTCACTTGTATTAATCAAATGACATGATGGTCACGTTTCCCCAGGGAGGCTTAGTATGTGCTGGTATTCCTTACATAGTATGACTCCTGACTTCTGGCAAAACAAGAGGAGATTGGATCAGAATGTGCTGGATGCAGAGTTTTACTTCTTGCAGGAACAATTTCTAGAATTGACTGAAGGTCTAAAAATAAAGTAAAATAAGAGAAGTGCTTTCCAGTTTTTCAAGTGTAGTTTCCCATGGAGACTAGGTAAAGTACTAAGGAAAGATTCAGAATGTTTGAAGTTCAGTCTAGGTCGCTGCGCTAAAACGTGAGAGGGTTTTTTTTAAGTGTTTGCATTTGGGGGGGCTGCAGAAAGGAGATGCCAAAACATATGAATTTTTTTGATCACTTGTGTGGCTGTGTGGGCTTTGTTGTTTTAGAGACGTCAGTTAGCTTTAGCCTAGAAGTTATCTTTGAGCTGTGTTTAAAAATACTCAGGCAGAAATAGTGTTCTTATATACTTCTTGCTATAAATCCTATTACATGAAAAATATTTGACATATGCCTCAAATCCTTTCATATTATTTTAAAGGTCAGCAATCTGGTTTTTTTCTGTTGCACCAGAGTGGAGCTCATAGCATCCCGAGCAGCTTTTTTTCCCCTGTCTTATGTTACAATATTGACAATGTTCTTCACAAGACAAGGTTTTCTAGTCCAACCTGTACCTTCGCAGTGTGTCCTCTATTTTGATGCAATGTGTTGCTAAGGGCTACTTTAAGACCTAATTAAAAAGCTGATCAGTTAAAGTATTACTAACAACAATTTGTAAAACTAAAGCTTAAATGAGCAGCTGTCAATCAAATTGCCTGTGAATTGATATATTTACTTTGGCTTTCTTACTCTGCTACTAAATGAAACTAGAGAACTATTACAAAGCAGAATTGATCTCTTTCTACTTTTTAATACTTTGACAGAATGCTACAATATTTATATTTTAGGGTTTTTTTAATGAGATGCTTAATTCTAAACAAACTATTTTTGAAAGTATGTTTGTTTGTTTTTAAATCTTCTTGGATCTTATTTGTATGTAATAATCTACCATCAGGTATAAACCAACAGGTATGTATTTAAGGTCTGTTTGTTTGACTTGCATGTTCGCCAGCTGTTGCAGCTTTTATGATGAACGTTATGAGGTTTTGGATTTTCCCCTGTTCATGGAATCTTGCTAGTAATGAGGATGAGAACTGGAAATATATTTTCAATTTTCTCAGGTTGAAAGATTGTCAGAGTTGATTCTTAAGTGATTTATTTTTACAAATGTATTATTTTTGTGGGGTTCTCAGTTCCTGATTTTGGACACGTTTATTTCTTCTACAATATGTATTTCTAATGGTACTTAGAAGATGGCTATACTTAGCTATTAAATGTATTGAAATTGATATTTTTTTTGTTGTTCTTTGTTCAGGCACCAGAATTTCCTGAGTTTACAGCTAAAGTTCAAGAAGCAATAAGTTCCTTGGGTGGTAGTGTTTTTCCTAAACTTAACTGGAGTGCTCCAAGGGTAAGACTGCTGACTCCCAAAACCTGTAACAAATGTTAACGTAAGGATTTTTTTGTTTGTTTGTTTTGTCTTAATGTACTGGAAAGGAGAAGAGGCTAGTGGTTCTGATAAAGGAAGGAGTGATAGTGAAGGTATTGGTGAAGTATGATACCGCAAATTGTTCTGGTGGATTAGAGCTGGGTGGTGCACTGTTTGGCGAGGCTGATACAAGACAGCGCTGTCTTTCTTACATAAACCCTGTATCCTTGATAACAGTATGTTGGTCAGACTCTTCTCATGTAGGATATGAATTGAAAACTTTGCCTGGGATAAAGATTAAAAACCCCAATTTCTTTTTTTTTAAAAAGCAATAAACTTCCCTCTAGTTATTTTTAGGTGCTCTAACTATACCATAAGGATGGGTGCACCTAAATGTTTTTGTATCATGTTCTCAAGGGAAAGTTTTGTTCAGTTAAGCCTTCCAAGAAAGTGCTGGAAGCAGTAAGGCAAAAACTTAGTTATTTTAAATAGATTTGCTCTGCTGTCAACAGAGTATTCATAAGAAAAGCAGTAACTATTGTGTGTCTTGTAACAGCTAATGAAGCTTTCCTCAAAATAAAAAAATAACTTGCTGCGTGTATTTCAAATGTTGCATAATATTTAGTGCTGATAGATCTGCAGCTTGCATTCCTTCCTGCTAGTAAAGGCGCATTTTTGGATAATCTCCATTTTTGTTTAGGATGCCTACTGGATAGCAATGAACAGCTCTCTGAAATGTAAAGCTCTCAGTGACATCTTCCTCCTCTTCAAGAGTTCAGACTTCATTACCCGTGACCTCACTCAACCGTAAGTAGATTTCTAGGAGACAATCTTATACCTAGTCAGAAAACCCCCCAACCCTCTGACGGTTCAGTTCTTTTGAAAGATTTTACTCTTTGCTGTACAGTAAAGATAAAATACATAGTAATGTTTAAAAGTTGTTCAGGTACAGTAATACAAGCTTCAGGTAAAGTAGTAAGTTAGTTGTTCTTTGAAGCTCCCCTACACCTTCCCTCCTTCTTTGTCTCTCTCCACTGTGCAAAAATAAACGCCAGGTCCATTTTAGTGCAGAGAATTGCAAGGCAAATCATCTTCATTGTTACTTACCGTGAGTGAGTCTTTCCTAGTAAACGAGAATTGTTTACCTTGTTTCAGTTGACAAGAGAGGAACAGCCTTAATTTTAATATGCAAATGAGGGAAGAGCAAACCAGGAAGACATTGCATTAAAGTAGTACATTCAAAATGACACTGTGCACTAAGACCGTTTTTACTGAGTTGCTTTCCAAAGCAAGTGATGTTTTCATCTTGGGGTTTTTTTGTCTTCCCACCTTTGTTGGCATGTACTTGTTGCTACCTACCTCAGTGTTGCCGCTTCTCATGGTAATACAGCATGACTTTACCATGTCCCGTTCAAATTTTAAAGCTGTTGAAATTTGTGTGGTGGCCTGGAAGATGCCTGAGGCTTCTGCTAACTTATTCCTAGAGCTCCTTCTGAACCTGAGTTCTTATAGGTCTTGAACAAATGCACTCCAGGAGCTGTGACTAGGGATAGTAATTACTGATAAAATTATGAATACGATGTGCTTGGGATTTATTTTGTCTGCTCACATGAAGAGAGTACTTAATTGTATAGCAACGGTTTCTTCCTGTAGTACCTGCATCTGACTCATGTCACTCATTTCTAAAATACAGCCTTTTTCTGAAAGAAAATAAAATTATTGGAATGTAATGTTCTTGTTGCTATTATTACTATTATTTTTTTCAGAAAAGCAAAATTTCAAAGAAGAAGGGCAATCCGTGGCTTGGAATCCAGGAGATTGCTTTCCAGTAATTATTCAATGCTTAGTTATATTACTGCAATATTTAGGAGACTCAGTCAAAGGCAGGGCACTTGTTCTACATGCTTTATAGAGGGTTACCAAGCACGATAGTCCTGTGTTAAGTAGTTTGTGACCCACTAAGAATTGTCTAAAATGTGAAACCAGCTGCATTAATGCTGTGCAACTGCCTTCTTGTTTATTCCTGAAACTCAAATAACACACTTTTCCCCCAATTTGTTGGTACTTTAAAAAAAATGATAGGTAGCAACATCCTTATCTCTGCATTTATGGAGTGCTAGCAACGCTGTCAGTCCAATTCTGATGCTAGGTTTTACGTTAGGTCTAACCTACAACATTATGAGGTGTGGAAGAAGACACTGAGAAGGAGGGGAGAAGATGCTGGAGTGAGAAGAGAGTTTGAAAAATATGTAGGACCATGGAAATGATTGTGAGCATTGAGAATTCATGATTCTGGGATCATGGAGAATGAAAGGGATAGGGGAGATGAGAAATCTATAGTTTACATTTCAGAGGCGAGTGAATAGTGATTCTTGGAAGACTTTGGTGCCTTACCAAGGAGCTTTTTTCATGGTTTCCCCTAATGGGAGGCTAGATGACTTGCCCAGGTATCTTGAGGATGGTTTGCTCAGAGGGTTGAGCACTAAAATTTAATGTGTCCTTTCTTGTAACTTCTTTCGGGACTGTGTCTTGTGGGTCTGAAAAGAACTGAACGCTTTGTATCATCCTTTTGTGAATATTAAATTATACAGTTTTTGTATTCTACTATCCTCATTTATAAAGAGGTTCAGTAGAAAGTACCCAGAGTTCCTTGGAGAATTCCTGTTTGCTTAACCACTTTCTAATGAGTTTGGGACACAATCAAGTGTTTAGCAAGCATCGCTTGATTTTGAGTTGTGGCAACTCTGCATGAGTGTTTGTGTTCTTATTTTGTGACATCTGTGTGGTAGAATGAGTTGGTTCAAACACCTTCACTGAGGCTGCGTTTTCCGTCAGGTTTTATCTCATATCAGGTAAAGTTAGTGCCTCAGCTATTTGCCTTGCCCTCTGTGGACAGAGCTGACTTCGTGGTAGAGTCAATGCGTGCTTCTATGTTGTGAGATTTCACAGCATGGGTGTTAACCTTAAGTTCATACCAGGCTAAGAACGGTAGTGGCTGGGGAGGCTGCTCTCTTCTACTGATCCCGCAGTGGGAGAACAACCTTTAGCAGAAAGACAACACCTCAAATTGCAGTAGTCCAATCCATTTAGACTCCTTTTCCAGTGTGGTAAGACCACACACGCCGACCGCCATATAGCACAGCTTAGCTAGTGGGTGGTAAATAAACAAACCTTGTGACATGATTGTGGGATCATCACCTAATGTAAAGGTTAAGTTCATTTGAGAAGTGTTGCATTCATTTCCCTTCCTATAAAGTCTAATCTAATGTTGGTATAAATTTGGGTTATGGTTTTTTCGGGTTTTTTTTTGTCAGAACAGGCTTTGTTGTTTTGGTAAGGTAGAATTAATATGGGCAGTGCAGCCTTGTGGTGTCCATGAATTTGAATGGAAGTTGTACTTACGACTAGGGGAACGTGTGTAATATGTAAAATCACTTTGGTCTCTATGTATCTTACATTTTATGAATAAGTTGTACTTGATTAAAGCACATATTATTGTCCAGTCTGTGCATGGTATTTCTAAATTACTAAGTTATTTGTACAAAATGTCCCCACCCAAACAGTGAAATTATTATTGCTGAATCAGAACAGTGGTCTTCCTTAATTATACTATTGATTAGCTGCCAGTTCCCTAGTCCTTAGCAAGCAGAAGTTAAAAATGTAGCTGGCATAAGAACCTGGAGTGCTGAACAAATGAAAATTGGATACATGATACATCAAATCCCTTGGAAAGGCTGCTCAGAGGGAGGATAAATTCACTATATTTCTATTTATTTCATTAGTATTCAGTATAGTCTAAAATTTAGTTTCTTGCTCTGCATAAGTAACAGCTGAAATGTTGTATACCCTTTTTGTTTGTTTGTTTTGTTGTCTGTTCAGTTGTATTAACTTAAAAATCCACTTCATGGGTCATAATACGGAAAAGTCTTTGCAATGGCAATTTGAAGATCTTTTTCTTAATCCAGCTTTGTTAGTGATGTGGGACTTAAGGCAAACCTCTTTCTTTGCCTCTTCCTTCCTCTCCCATTTCCTATCTGCTTTATCTGGTATCGATCTTGACATTGTTAAGGTCAGGGAACTGCCCTTGCTGTAACTCAGATGTCTCAAGTTCCGAGAAAACTTCAGCTATGCAATACTTCAATACAAACCATTAAAAAATATGGCCTTAATGCAAATATACTGAGCATGACTAGATAAGCTTTGTCTATTTAAAATGTTTGGATTCTCTCATGATGTTGATACTTTGTTTGGTTGAAAAGTTCAGAATAGTGAGTTAACTTTCCTCCTTGTTAATTTTGTATAAATTAACAAAGACTTCAGAGTGATGCACTCGTTAATGCAGTCAATGTTGTTTCTGCTTCAGAGTAAACATTGCATTTTACTTAGCTGAGTTCACAAAAAAACCTTGTGGTTGGTGTGATCCTTAACTTTTCAGGTTTTAATGTAGGCTTTCAAAAACTTAGCATTGTGGATATGTGATAAAAAAAAAATCCCTTTTTAATTGGGATTTCTGTTAAGTGATTAAAACTCTTCTTTTGAACAAAAATCCTTTTAAAGCCCTGTTGAGTGTAGTGCTTAGAACCCAGTTTTCTTCCTTATTATTAGAATGTGTGGACTACATTTTGTTAAGACATGATTGCTCATCTTGAGACTGGTATAAATATTAGCAATACCTCTAATGATATGATAATGCCCTTTCAATTATAAGATAAAGTTGTTATATCATGGTCATTAACGAACCTTGGAAATTTTGTCAGACTTTGGTGATTGTTCCTGTTCTACAGGGCAGTACTGGATGTGTTACATCTGCAGATGCTACGATTGGGATTTTGAACGCTAAAGTGTTTTTGTTTTTCCAGTTGTTCATTAATCACTGAAGAGGTAAAATAAGAAGTCCTGTAAGTTCAACCTTGTGGAAAAGCAATCTAATGCAGAGAACATCTTTTGCAGGGATTGCCCTTTGACTTACTATAGAGGGGCAGTATGAGTCACATGCAAGAATGGCTATTTTCTGATGTGCACTTAAGTGCTGTAAATTGACTCAGTATTTTATTGGACCAGCTGGTGTTGTGGACCTGTTACTTCCAGAAGTTCGTTCCTGAAAACTTTTTGAGAAGCTGGTTAGACATGTGAAGTAAAGAGTCTAAAAGTAGCCACTGAACCCAACCTAAGCCCAGGAAACAGAGTGAAGGGACCATCTATGCCACATTTAGTATGTAAGAAACATCTATTAGGTCAACGGAGCAGGTGAAAGAACTCCCAAAAAGTTTCCAAATGTATTAATGTGCAAGATACAAAGGAATGTGAGGAGAGATGCAATTTTTTTATTTAGTTGTTTATAAGAGGGCTTGATTAAAATTTAAGTGCCTGTTTCTGAGAACAGTTGTGAAAGTCTACTCTTGAGTGAGGTTTATCCCATCAGGGTCCTGAGCACACTGTTAACTTTAAAGCCTAGCAGAGGACTCAGTTCTTTTTGGTTTTAAGCTAGCATTCTGACTACATTTGTAATACCAGACTTAATGCTTCTAAAAACTGAACTACAAATTATGAAGAAATTACAACATTTTTCTGAAATGTGGGGGAATAACAGCCTGTGTTCTTCTAACAGAACATAGGAGGCAGTGTTGGCTCATAAAGATGTGACTTGGCACTCGGGATACCTTTCTGCGAGAAGGGTAGCTGTTGGTTTAGACTTCAGTATAACCTATTTTGAGTTCCACATGAGAGGATGTAGAAATTGAGGCCTTTGATTTTTTTTTTTCTTGAGGTTTTACTCACATCACTTTTTTCTAGCAATTTATAGTGTAGTACAAGATCCTCTTTTGAATGGTGCATGAATTTCCTATTTCTTTTAGTCCTTGAAGTTCCAGTAAGGTTCAATATTCAAGAAATAAAGATGCGGTTCAAAGGCTGTTAGAAGTTTCTTCTTGATTCTTTTTTTTATTAAGGTTTTAAAATATACTATGAGGTGATAGCAGGGGAACTGTCAGGTTCAGAATAACTTTTACAATTCTCATTATGTTCATAATAGTTTATTATCCACAGAATAATCTCAGTGATTTGCAAATGACTTCATGGCTCTCTTAGCAGGACAGGTATTGGAGGTCTTACAAACCTTAAATTGCTTTTCTCAGTGTTGAAAACTGAGCTGCATAATGGCTTCATGCAGCGTGTCTGGTTGTCAAGTGTATGCGTTTGGATATTAACATACAGCTGCTACATATAAAGAGACCTTGATCCTTCTGTTCTTGACATCTAACTATAAATCTCTAAACAAGCTTTGACCACAGCACAAGGTCTATAAGCAGTAGAGTTTAATTCCTTCACCCTTAGTAGTATTCAAAATGATGATTTTCAAAGGCTTCAGAAAGGAGAGACTGGTTATCTCTCAATTTTGGGTTCCTGAAGTCTTTCTGACAGTTCTTTCAAATACCTCCAAACCAGAATAGGATGCAGGTTAAAGAAACCTTGCTTAGCCTTTTGCCTTTTAGGATCAAAAGGCCATGTGTAATAAACGAATGCAGCTGGGTCTGAACAATTAATGCTACAATAAGTTGGTAAAAAATATAAAATTGCAACTACCTCAAGTTGCCCAAAATCTACCCCCCCCCCCAAAAGGGGTGATAGTAATGTCTTTTTGTTGACAAAACCTCATGATACTGTTTAGAAGGAAAATGAGAATTCAAAAACCTGATTTTTTTTTGTTTTTCACTGTGTTGTCCCATCTTTTCCTCACTTGTACTTGGTCCTGTGTTCATTAAGGCTTAAGAAAAATAATGTTACTGCATCTTGCAGTACTTCTGTCTATATTCATCATTTTGTCTGTTAGCTTGATGTGGCAGCAGTACATGAGCATTCTGTGTGGCTTGGGATGGCGCCCAAGGATTTCGTTTTCTGACTTCCAAGGAAAGAGGAAGTATCTTTCTCCACATAGCTCTCACCCAAAATATTTCAGGGCTCAGCAGGAGACAATTTTGATCATAGGGTTATTTTTTGACTGCTGAGAAGTGCTGCATGTTATTGGAACGGAGCAGATTGCAGGTACCTCAATCTCAGATGTGGAAGTCAGTGCGAGGTAATACAGGTCCTAGTGTGCAAGGACTGTAAAACTCTGTGCTGGACTTCAGCTGCCTTTTTATATGTAGTTGGTTTGGTCAGGGGGGGGATATTTTCTTGAGCATGGTAGGCATCTGTGCTAGTAAGGGAGGAATTTTGAGTCTAGCAAAACTATAAGTTCTCATGAGTTTGTTTCTGTTGCCTTGACAGATCTTAAATTGCAGGGAATATAAACTGTAGTTGAAGGATGTTATCTGTTTACATAGGCTTACAGATATATATGATCTGTTTGATTACAGTATTTATGGAAAGCATGCCTGCTATCTCCCTTCTTTTCTGCATGTTGTGGATATTAAAGTCTAAACTAAAATGTGTGAAATTTATTTCTGCTGGCAGCATACTGAATGAACTCTTACCATAGCTCTTTACTTCAAACTGAAGGTTGGGTAGCCATGTCTTACAAACACAATGCTTATATTAGAGATGTTAGACTTTTGGAATGCTTTACCAAATTCAGTGCTGAAGGGAGATAGTATAAATGTTGCCATTTAAGACTTATTGCTCAGCAGTGAACCCTTTACACAGTTCTGCTGTGCATCAAAGTAGTTTGTTGCCAGTAAGGTCAGGGACTACACTTGGAAGGAAAATGCATATTTTTTTTTTGCTAATTCCCTTTGGAAGTTACAGGATTTATTGCAAGCTTTGCTGGAAAATGACAAAAAGGTACATAGAAGTTGGCTTGGGTATGACTGCCTCATTTCTTGATAGCTCCTGAAAGGTGGCACACGGAGTCAGCTACTTACCAGGGACAAAACCTTGACATCTGCTTGCAGTTATGGAAATAGTTTTGTTTATTCCCACTCTCAAGAGATTTGTAAGAGTATTTCTTAAGGCTCTTAATTTAGAAAGATACCATGCTGTGGAATCAGAAGTGCCGACTGTCACTGTTTTGCATCCCTTATTCATGGAAATGAACTGCTGTAAGACATGATGATGTGTCTCTGTTGTGTGGTTTAGGAAGCTGAACATGAAAAGTACTAGGCAAAACATGCTGCAATGAAACTAGATTAGATTGCTCAAGTTTATCTGGTTCTTTGAGAATCCAGTTATGTCACCAGTTGGTTCAAACAAAAAACCTCACGTCCAAATTTCAGTGCTTCCATGTTACGCTAGGTGAAAAGATTTTTTTTTTTTCTTTTTTCCTTACCCCCTCTCTGATAATTGTCTAAATGAGCTTTGTTATTGATATGTTGAATTTACTTGGGTTTTATGTCTTGGAGATAATGTAACAGTAGCTTTTGTGATTCGCAGTTTGGGGTTATTTTTCTCACTATGGCTAAAGTCTTACATGTAAAAGCAGATTTTGATGCCTGTGCCTCACTTTTCTAGATTCATTCACTGTACTGATGATTCCCCTGATCCTTCCTTGGACTACGAGGTAAGACTCTTTGCATGATTGCTAGGCAATTTTGAAATGAATTGCTCACAGGCAGGCTGCCATTTGTGCTTGGGTATTTGCCCATAAATTTTTGTTTGTTTGTTTTAATTGCGTTGCTTGGGCAGTGTGGGGAAGCCTGGTTAAGTGCTACAGCTCATAAGGAGTTGGTTTAATTACAGATCAGAGGTGAGCTAAAGTTCAGACTTTTGGGACTTCCTTGCAGTTTCTTCTCATGTCTGTCAGGTTTTGCCAGGAAGGACAAGCTCAGTAACTGAAAGTCACACGTTCTTGATAGTATGCTGCTTGTGAATATCACAACTGAGGTTACTAAGGGAGAATCTAGCTGTAGTGGCTGGGGACATCCTGAACTGAACTGGTCTATCATATCTTGTTTCATGTGCTCGTTACCAGATTAAAATGTTAAGTTAGCAACGTAGATATTAACAATGCCTTAAACTGTTCATGTGGTGCTATCACTTTTATGATAGCATCTAGTCATGTCTCTAATAATAATTTTTATGTAAATATAGCATTTGTCATCATCCTGTGGGCTTAAAGGGGTTTAGAAAAGTGAATGAACCCTGGTTTTTTTAAAGGACTTTCTTACTGTGCTTTAAAAATGTAGGAAATCTGAAAGTTGGAACAAAGAGTTTCATGTTTGCGCTGTAGTTAGGAGTGTCACCTTTGATTACTGAGGTTTTTCTACTGAGGTTGATAGGTGTTGGGAGTTTCCAGTAGCCATGAGCAGTAAATCAGGCCCTCAGAATAATGGATCCATCTGAATACTTCAGCTTAGGAAATGCAGAAACTTGAGAAAGTGCCAGAGATATGCTTTAATTACCAGGCAGTCTGTCCTATTGACTATAATAGTTCGGTTACTATTTCTATCCTGTGTCCTTATTTTAACTGGTTTGCGCCTTCAAAGGCGTCACAGAATTCTGCTTGGGTGTATACCAGAACAGAGGTCAATTTGGTTAAATATAATTCTGCTCATCAGCTCTTTTGACTAGGGAGCAGCTTTCTGCCAATTCCATGACAGATTTGTTGTGTTGTACAGCAGGTTTTTTTTGTTTTCCACACTTTATCATTAATGTAACTTTGAAGTTGTTTCATAAATAATTTCACAGTTACGAATGCCATACCGAGTGAAAGAACATATTAAGGTGAGACGGGGCCTCAGGAGGTCTCTAGTCCATTCTTGTGCTCAAAGCTGGGTAAGTGATGAGATCAAATTGTGTTGCTTGGCATTTTATGAAATCTGGTCTGAAAACCTCAGTGGATGGAGGCTGCGCAACCTCTATGAGGGACTTCTTCCAACACTTGACAGTCCTCATAGTGAAAAAGTTTCTTCTTATGTCCAGCCTGAACATTCCTACTTAAAGCAAGTTTGGACTAGATGATCTTTAAAAGTGCCTTCCAACCAAAAGCATTCTGCGATTCTGTGACATTAATATTAAGTCTAATTGCTTTGAAGTATTTGCTAAGATAATTGTGTGAACTGCAGGTTAAGATTGTTTTGTTTTCTTGTATCAGGAATAACTTCAGATGTCATCTTATTATTACAGCAAAACTGTACATTTAGAATGTATACCCATTGACAAAAAGTTACCTGTTACCTTTCTGAAACAGTACTTCATTTGTTTTTCCTCTATAGCTTGTTCTTCGCAAATGGTGTGAACTAATCCCTGGTGCAGAATTCAGATGCTTTGTTAAGGAAAACAAGCTTATAGGTAAGGATTTTCATAAAGATAAAATTATTAGGTGAAGTTCTGAGGAGCTTCTCTGGTTCCTTGAATCAGCACTAAATATGAAGACAGTTCTTAAAACACCTAATTTCTGGAATTAATGTTTTTTTTCTTCTTTCTGCAATTTAAAATGTGGAACACCAAGTTTCTCTTACCACTGTATTTGAAAACCTGATGACATAGCATGCTCGATATTACAGTGGGAATATTCTTAATTCTAATTGCTAATTCAGAAACTTCACCCAAAGGCTGTCTTGAAAGTGATTCTTTTATATTCAGGAGCAAACTGCATGCATCTCCAACTTGCGGAATGAATACAGAGGCAGTTGGGTATTCTGCTGATAAAATGTGACTGCCATGTGGATATTATATGTAGAAAGTTAGGGAGGTCAGAACGTGTCCACAGGTGTACGAGGTGTCTGAGTTCATATTATGTTTAGTGTAGCTTAGTCAGAAAACCTGTTGATCTGTTACTCTGGTTCAGAATCCTATATGTAAAACCTTTCAAGTGGCACTGAACAGCTAAGCTATCCACAGCATGCGAAGAGCTGGTGGGTACTTCAGGAGACCTGTGACAGCTAGAGGACAGGCAGATTGTGCTAGAGCATGTATTTTGGGTAGTACTAGGATAAATTTAGCTGAATTATACTCCTCTGGATGTATTGACTGCTGACTATAACAGGAGCTTAGACATCTAGTGCACATACAGGTGCTTGAATTGAGGGATTTAATGTCAGGCTAAATATTAGTCTGGATTTTGAATTCGTTTTTGGTGTGGTGTACCATGGGAATCTTTAAAGATGAACAGAAATGTAAATAGCACAAGACTAGCGCACGTTTGTCCTTAACAAGATTGAATCATTCTGCCTAAACTTTTCTAACAAGGAAATGTTATAGCAGTGATGTAGAAAGCTGTGATCCAGACTTTATAGGAAGATTTTTTTTTCTTTAAAATAAAACCAAGTTTGCTCATTTTGCCTGTCTCAACCTATGTAGTCACAAATACCAAGATGCATATCTACAAGTGGTCTGTCCAGGATTGGATGATGTGGAAGGGAAGGGATATTGGCTATCTAGTTCTCATTGTTTCTCCTGGCTTCTTCTCAGCATGGTGACTATGTACTTGTTCTGGATGTGCCTTTTTGCACCTGTTAGGAGCTGTCAGCAATTTGTCACTCCATCCTACCCTACCCCTGTGAATCATTAGGAATGTACTGCCTGTTCTTTGTTTCCTGATCTGGGTGTCCTATGGAGCTGCACATAGATGTTTTGGGATGTGCTAATCTAGGTGCTGTCAACACATACCATTCTCATAGCCCTTTTATTTGGCTGTTCCTTCTGGTGCTTCTACACTCATCTTCCATTCTCTCTCCATTCATGCCAATTACAGGGTTTATTACAGTTCTCTGTCACAGAGTTTGTCTTGCTAATAGCAGAGATCCTCCATTAAGCCCTTCTTTCTGACATAGCTTTTTGAAGGGGGAAGAGCTGAATCCTGTCCTGTTATGTGCTGCTGGAACACCGGAACACCACAACTGCCAGATATATGCATCACTGTAATAACCTCTAAAATATTGGAATGTAGATTTATTATAGAATATATATATAGTGATACTTACTTTCAAATACCTCAGAGCATTTGTACGCTAGCTAATTAAACACTCTGTACGTTTTGTTACTAGGTTTTGAAACCTAGTAGATCTACCAGTATGTTTGGTTTTTTTTTTTTAGCTAGCACTCCAGCTGCATTTCTGAAGACAGTTCCAAGATTTTTCACAGTATGTTCCCATGCTCTTAAAATTAATAAGCCTGTCAGTCAAATTAAGGAGTGATACTTGCATAGTGTAGTGAATGATTTTCCAGTTACACATCTGCATCCCCTGAGATGCCACCATCTCTTGGTTTTTGTTTTTAGGCCTGAGTTAAGCTTTGCAGTGGTATTAATAATTCAAAGTTCCACTGACATCATAAACTTTATATGAACTTTCTTAAAGAGCACATCTTTGGAGGTAGTCAGCATTGTCTCACAATAAAACTTCATCTCTGTGTTTTGTATGTGGTTATAACAGAAAACTGCTATTATTGATACATCTTTCTTGGAGGATTCTGGCTTTTTTTTCCCCCTAAACAGCATGAGTTACTCATTCTGCAGTCATGGGGCATGTCTTGGTTTGACATTTGTCCAGCCAGATATTGCAGTGGCTTATGTTGACGCATCCTGTATGAGAACTCCTGTCACTTAAGATGCATGCAAGTGTGTAATCCTGTTGATGTCAACTTCAACTATTGTCTTGTAGACAAACAAATATCTGAAATTAAGAAGCTTGTGATGTAGCTGGAATAGTTTATCTCGTGTCAGATATGTAAGTCAGCGCTCGGGGGGGGGATGGGGCAAATGGAAGAAATAAGGTACTAGACTGCATGCCATCTTGTTGATTTTAGGATTTAAGGTTTCACCTGTAGTGCCTTATCGAACAGGTACACTTTATTCCACGCTTAATAAATTGGTTAAATTAGATTAATTATGGTACGCTAGGATTTGTCATCTTTGCTAATGTACAAGCCTGGCCTCTACACCTTTCATGTCATGGTTCCAAATTCTGGTCCCTACATCTGATGTGCAGAACACAAAAAGGTTTTTGACCAGAGTAACCAGGGGGAATAAAACTGAAGGGAAAAGATCGGAACTGGAAACTTAAATGCAGACAAAGGTTCCTTTTGAAATTCACTTTAAATTAATCAGAGAGTGTACATATAAAATGAGGTTCACAAAATGTAGGGCAGAACTGTTCAAGGCAAAAAAATTCCTAATGGAAATGCTTTAAGTATTGGAGAATAAAGCCAAACAGTAAGTAATTCGTAATGGTTGAAACTTGGGAGAACCCCGTCTTCTGAAATATTGATAACGTGCATGTCTCTGATAACTGCGTTTTATCTGGTTGGGTTTTTTGCATGCTTAAAGCTCTTTATAATCAATGAAAATTATTGACAGGTGTATCACAGAGGGACTACACTCAATACTACGATCATATCTCTAAGCAACATGAGGAGATCTGTAGATCAATACAGGAGTTTTTCAAGAAACACATACAGTATAAATTCTTGGATGAAGACTGTAAGTACCTTAAGGCTGCAATAACAAGGGGAGCAGCGGGGAGGGAATGAAGTTTTTTAAATACTTATTGCACGCATAGTTACAAAGACTTAGAATCAGAAATGAACTCTCTGAAGTTCTTCTGCAGGGTACTGGGAGGTTTGAAATTGAAAGGGTTTGCGGGGCAAACTCCACAGAAATGAGACCTGTCCTCCTGCCCCCTTGCTGTTGCTGAGCCAGGCTCCTTTCCGCCACAGCACACCAAGTTGCATTCTGCTAAATTCCAATTTACTGCTGGAGATCACTGTTAAAATGGGTACTTCTCAATAAATAATGGCATCCCCAATATTTTAAGTCTGTGGATATGCATCTCTGTCTTCACAGTTATTGCTTTCACAGGGCTTGGTTCTTTTTAACTTGGGAGAGTCTTACAGCTCTTGTGGCTAGAGCATGCAGAGCAATGTAGTTTTTGAATGGCTATAAAATTGGCAATGAATAAACCCTGAAGGAATAGGCTGGAGCTTTTCAGGAAAACACAACAAATGTGTGAAAGAAAACTTCAGAAAGCATAATGACTTTTTTTTTTCTTTTTGGAAGGCTTTTTCCCCATATACTTGTTTTTAATTAAGAAAAATTCTAAACCTGAGAAGTGAGGTAGGAAGTGCTTGACAAAAGGCATTCAGTAGTAAGAAGAATACTTCTTTATAAAGATGTTGTGAGATGTTTGCTGCTAAATTAGTGATGTATTCCTTGAAGAAAGGATCTGTAAGTTTCTTTTCAAGAAGTTATAATAATTTCTCCTAGAATATTGATGCACAGCAGTTTAGCTGCTGAAACTTTTAAATAAAGGCCATGGTATTTGATACACCTAAGCAGCCAAGTAAATTGTCTTGTTCTTTAAATGTGGAGTCCTTTGCAAATATTATCGGAAATAGTTTGCTGACCTAGTTTAGTGAGAATTGAATAGTGTTGCATTGTGATGGATGATCAGTAGTGGTGAAAAATATGATGAAGAAATTTAATTTGGGTCTGGCATGGACCAGACCTCAGTTTAGTAAAATACGTAAACATAAGAATTGTCCAGCAGTTGTATTGTCTTCTGTAAAGCTTTGAAAATTCAACCTTTAGATAAGTTTTAAGCATGGTTAATTATTTTGCTGAGTCACCAGAGCAATCAGAGAGATCTGTCCTGTCTGACCTTCTGAAAAAGATACCTTCTAATGCCAGTCTCTGCTATATTAAAACTCTTAATAATTTGACTCTGCAGGGTTCCTTGATTTCAGTCCAGAGAAGTTCTCAAGGACCACTTTTTGGAGAAGACCTGTAGTCTGGAAATCTGTATACTAATTTAATAGGTCCATAGCCCTAATGTTTTGAAGTAACATCAGTCATATAGATCTGACATTCTGAACCCTGTCTTTCAATTTTCCTCTGTGTTCCAACATGATTTTAGCTGGTATGTAATCAACTGATAGATAAGAATTCAGGGCACTATTTTTGGAAATTGATGCCTAGATTTAGGCTCTGAAACTGCTGTCTGGTGAAGTGAAAGGTCTGAAGTGTCATCTTATGTAAAGGACATAAAACTGTGCCATCTGAGTTACCTTCTGGGAAAAGGAGGTTTCAGGATGACCTTCTGGGATGAAGGTTTGTTAACCTTTTGTTCTTAGGCACTAAATGCTGGTGACTTGTCCATCTGCAGAGAAATGCCATGCAGAAGATGTTTTCTGTTTGTTTTTTTTACCACCTTTCATACATCCCCCATCATATCCCTTGATCACTGTCTGGTAGCATATGTGTTGTTAACAATAAAAATCTGGGTTTGCTTGTTTGTTTGCTTTTAAAAGGAAAGGTATTACAGCTTTTCTCATGACTTCTTGTTTCATTGGGGATTTTGATGCTATTTGCTCTGCTTTTTCCAGTTGGTCTGGTAGCATCTCCAGATGGAAGAGTTGAGTCAGAGCAGCTGAAGCATTGCAGACTCAGAGCAGTAGGATAACAGATGGATGAATGCTTTATAAATACTTCTAAATGATGTTAGAACCTTCTAAATACCTTTCATAAGAGCCCATAAGAACAGGGTTCTGGAGGTATCCGTACTTACTGTAGAGTCAAGCCTTGGCTTACCCTCCATTTTGAGGAACTGCTGGTTTTACTACAGTCTTGCTGGCACGTGTTGCTCCTGCTCTGAGGTGGTCCCTAAGAAGAGGGAACAGTTCAGGTTTTCTTCTCTGCTCAGTGTTTGTGAGCTTCCCAAACTAGCCACCAATGTGCAGTCAGTCTTAATGGGAATGTAAATTCTGCTAAATGCCATTAGCCTCCGTGATCACCATAGGCTTGCTTTAAGCTGACAGGCGTAATTTTATAATAAAGCTCAGATCCAAGTTTTCCATTAGTGAAATATGACTAATGAGAGTACATGGTACGGGCAGCAAGTTCAGTTGAACAGATGGAGAAGAAACTTAGGGTTGCTGTGATCCCCTTCACGTTGATGACTTAGCTACTGAGGTCTTGTCTTCTCAAGAAAATCATAGCACTTAATTCCGGAGTGACATTTTAAACTGACGTAACGGAGCTTGTGCAAAAAGCTGTGTGGATTTTTTGCCTGTATGGTCAAAACCAGTTACGTGACTGGCTTTGGTGCTGTTCATTTGTGGTTTGCCCTTAGCCCGGCGAAGTTTGCATGAAATGGTAGATTAAGCTGCTGAGTAGCTTTACACGCATGAATGTGATCAATCAACATCCCCGTTACTGACGGGCAGCTTCCTGAGTACTCGCTGAGGCTCAAGTGTTCTTCAGTCATATCCTGAGTTTAGTTTATCCCACATATTTTGGGCAATCTCTTAGCTGAACTATTCCTTTCCTTATTAGTGAAGGAAGTTACAATACAGCATTTGTCTGAGTTTTTTCTAAATCTGGCTTTTCTTTTCCTTTCTTTCTGTTAAACTGGTACAACTTCTGCATGAAGTCATGCCTGAATGCTTATCTGTCGATTTCCCAAGCTCAATAGAAAGAAAAAGGTTTGTTTAACCATACAGAACAGAAGCTAACAGAAAGGTGTATGTACAAAGATTCATGCTTAATTAAGTCAAGGGGAGGGACAGCAGTGGAGCTACACAAGGCAGCTTTGCATCAATCACCAAGTAGCAAAGGATCTGTTTGAGACTTGTTGATAATCAGTAGGTGTGCTCTGTCTGCTCTGGGTTACATTAAACATAGCCATTTCACTGCCACCTCTTCCTCAGCATGCCCGCCAGCCTCTTTGTTCCTACACCTGTTTGTCTTATTATCTGCTGAAGTCTTAATCTCCTTCAAGCAGGAACTTTCTCATATTAAATGTTTGTGCAATGCCTAGCACAGTGGAGTCTTGATCCTTCCTTGAAATTTCTCCATTCTGCTGTAAACCAAACAGCAGTAATGTCAAAGATAAGCTTCTCCCTGTGCTAAGAATTTATCAAATGTTCTTCAATGGGGGAAAAATTAACAGAAGCAACCAGCATTAAGTGGAAAACCCCAGCAGCCAACCTCTCAGTGCACTAACGATAATTCTTGAAATGTTTCAACTCCCTCTTGGAAAAGAACCTAATTCTGGCTTGCAGTTCTTCAGAAATATTGACTTTGCAGATTGTGCTGTGTACACAAGTATCTATTCAGATTTAGACATCTTCTGTGAAATTGTATCTCTTTTAAGATTAACATATTTTTTTTCTCCTTTTCAGTTGTTTTTGATGTGTACAGAGACAGCAGGGTAAGTGAACATCAGGTTGTATATAATTGTTTATTCTGTGGAAACTCCTGAAATGCTACAGAGATGAAGCTTCATCTTCCTAGAAGTAGTCCTGGCAAAAAAAAAAAAAAAAAAAAAAAAAGACTACTTGATGTTATCATTCTGTTCCCCAGGTCCTTTTCTACGTTAGACACTGCCTACAGTAGAATGATAGGATTAGGGGTGTAAATATGTCTGTGCCACTGATGAAATTATTTATTATCTTCCAGAGGAGTAGTCTTCTCTTAAAGCACATAACTTTGGCTTCAGCTGCAATTCTGTCAGTTCTGTGGATCTGCTGAAGGCAATTTAAGTTTTCATTATGACACGGAGAGTCTTTGCTGAAATAATTTAGAGTAGAATAGAATATTTCAGTTGGAAGGGACCTACAAAGATCATCTAGTCCAACTGCCTGACCAATTCAGGGCTGAGCAAAAATTAAAGCGTGTTATTAAGGGTATTGTCCAAATGCCTCTTAAACACTGACAGGCTTGGGACGTTTTCTTTTAAGATAGGCACTTAATCAATATCATACAACATTGCTAAATTGTTTTAGCAAAGCACTACCTGTTGCTAAGGTTTCCTCTGCATAGTGCTTACTCTGGGTGCTTTTGACAGAAATGTATCTGAACATGCAGCCAGAATGGCTGTGATAATTCAGAAAATAAGGTGGGGGTGATATTTTGCTCAATGGAAAAAAATTTGGGGGATTCTTACAAAAAAATCATTCCTTTTTTTTTTTTCCCCCCTGTGATGTTTTTCCCTATAGCCTCTGAACTCATCAAAACTAATCATTAATATTTCTCCAGATTGTCCATGTGAGGTTGTAAAATGATAACTTGTACTTCATATATGGAAGTCTAGGGTATGAAAGGATAGTTGTCAAAAGAGTATATGAATGTGGCATGCCCAGTTTGTCACAGATGGAAGTGGATTTTTTCTTTTCAAACTGCTCCAGCTGTGGTTCTGAGTGCTTCGCAGATCAGAACCCTGAACATCCAGATAGTGACGGAGTGGGGAGAAATGTCCCATCTGAACTTCAGGTGCCAATATCAGAGTTAGTCACCTTGACCTCTTCTAGTGTCAATGGAGGGGAATAGATCAGATGAATTGTGCTTGAAAGGCACACATTTATTGTTTTGAAAGCAACCACAACCAAAAATGCATTATCATAAAATGATAGGATCATTTGGTTTGGAACGACCTTTAAGATCATCAAGTCCAACCGTTAACCTAACATTGCCAAGTCCACCACTAAACCATGTCCCTAAGCACCACATCTACACATCTTTTAAATACCCCCAGGGATGGGGGCTCAACCCCTTCCCCGGGCAGCCCATTCCAATGCTTGACAGCCCTTTCAGGGAAGAAATTTTTCCTAATGTCCATCGTAAACCTGCCCTGGCACAACTTGAGGCCATTTCCTCTCGTCCTATCGCCCATTACCTGGGAGAAGGGACTGACACCCACCTCAGTACACCCTCCTTTCAGGCAGTTGTAGAGAGTGATAAGGTCTCCCCTCAGCCTTCTCTTCTCCAGGCTGAAGACCCCCAGGTCCCTCAGCCACTCCTCATCAACCTTGTGCTCCAGACCCCTCACCAGCTTCGTTACCCTTCTTTGGATGCGCTCCAGCACCTCAATGTCTTTCTTGTAGGGAGGGCCAAAGGTAGCCTTGAATCTCAAAACCTGACTTTGGGAATCACATTAGTGCATGAGAAGTAAGTCTTTATTTAGCTTATTTTTTTTTTCCAAATCCTAAACCAGAAATGCAAAAAAAGAGGCTGTATACTTTTGCTGTATTTACGAGTCTCACTGTTTGACTTGTTTGCAGTTACGGGATTGGAGAAGGTCTTTATTTGAGTTGAGTTGGGAGTATTTGTAGTAAGTCCTGATTCTGACTTTGAATGTTGCTAAAGTATTTTCTAACTGTGTAATAGTAAATCATGCCATAGTTTGTAAAACACAAACTAAACAGGAACGTGTGTTGTGGAAAACAACTACTGTACTGTTACTCAGCACAGCTTTTAATGTAGCTACCTAAAATCAGGCTATGGGCTAAAACCAGCCATGCTGAGTGAATTACCTGCCCAGGCACAGATCCTCAGACTTGAGGATGCAGTCAGGCAAAATGAGGGGCAACATTTCAGCATTGAACCAGGTTCTGCTGTTGGGTACTCTGCCTCACAGCTGAGGCACAGAGACAGATTATTTACGTAGAAGTTTTCAGCCTGTGTGACCTCAAATGAGCAGTGTTTCTTCATCTGTCAAGATAAAATGTATCTGTTTGTAGATATCTCTTGGTGCCTTCTACCCTCAGGTCTTGTAAGCTGCCAGATAGCCCTTTGTGTGTCAGATCCTCCTCCTTTCACACATACTTTTGTGGTTTGCAACTGTATTATTCATCCCTCCCTTTGTATGTGAGTTATAGGCAGCAAAAGAATATTGAGTGTTGCAGAGTGTGATTAATTTCCAGAGCCCGTGCTCCTCATCAGGCTGGTTGCACGGCAACCTCACCTACAGAATGAGAGAAATGTCCAGTGTCTGCTTATTTTAAATTCTTTCAACTCTAAATATTCAGCTTGGAGAAGGTTGTTCTGTGATACGCTTGTGAACGAAGGCAACCCCCCCTCCCCGTGCTTGCTTGAGTTACTTGAGGGACGGTATGGAGTAGGCTGCTGCAGGTCCTGCTTGTTGAGTTGGAGGGTGACAGAGAAGCAGTGGTGGCCTGGTTGAGAGCAAACTTTTATGTGTCTGCCTTTCCTGCTACACTGTCTTCATGGAGCTCATCTGAGCTAGTGTCTGACTTTGCAGACAAGTTGTCTTTTAAGGAAGAAGCACTGCCGTGTGGTCTTCCAAGCTGGATGATCTGGAGACCTAGTCCTGAAGAGGTTACGTTGCAGGACTAGTATCCTGTTTTCTTTTGGATCCACTTCTTTCTTATTTTTTGGCGCTAGCAGTTCAGAGTCACTGTGCAACAGCTGACAAGCCTGAGAATCGTCTCTGCTGTTGCTCTTTACATCTCCCAGGTGTTAACAACTTGTAAGAGTGTTCAAGACAAGTCACTGTGGTAAGACAAAGAATGGCTTCAGACCACAGCTAGCTCACAGCTGCTCTTGTTAATGTGCAAACCAGTGCTTGTATCTCTGCCCTGTGAGCACTGTCATTGTGCATGAAGGTGCAGCTGGAGTTAGGGAAATGTAACGGTTTGGTTTGCATTTTATCTATCTTTTAACTTCCTTTAAACAGTCTTTGTCATGGGCACTTCCCTTTGGCAGCATGTTGCTTAATGCTTTAGTAAAACAAAGCATGAAGCTGACATGATATGGTAAATCTTTGGATCCTGCATTAGGATGAGGAAAAAATCTTATGTAACACAGGTTGGGTTTTTTTTTTCCCCTCCAGATATGCACAATTTGCTTTCCTGGCTTGTGCATTTGTGTGCTCCCATATGACAAAATTACTAATACCAGAAGATGGCGAGTAAATAGCTTTACTGCTCATTAGATACACAGTGCAAGTCATCTGAAACTACATTTAAATCACAGCATTGCATGTAAGACTTGAAAGAGCCTTTAATCTTAAGACACTTTGGTTACTGACCCAGAGTTATATACGCTTCCCTTAATGAGCCCTGAAAAGGGATATTTAGTTTGTTTTGCCACTTCTCATCAATTTGCAGCTACCAAAGCTCAGTGAGATTTTAAGACCATCTCAAGGAAACAGTTGGTGTTGTCGATGGTGTGCTACTGTCTGCAGGGAGGGAGAAATACTGCTGGGTGCTCACCAAAACCAGGTGTTGCTTTCAGTAATCTCTAAACCAGTTTTCAGTTTTTTCCAGGGCACATTTCTTCTCTAGAGAAATGATCTTGAGTTCTTATGGAGAAGCTGTGTTTCGTGTACTTGAGGTGAGGAGGAGTCTCTGGGAAAGCCTTTCATAGGGAAGTCCATTATTAAGTATAAACATTCCTGATCCAAGGAAGGATTCTCTGAGCTGCTGAACGAGCTTTGCCAGCCATTGCTCTGTGTGTGATTAAATTGGTTCATTAGCTTGTTTTTCTAGTGTGATAGAATGAATCTAAAATTACAGATTCCTCCTCCTGCTGCCTTGGAGCTAACAAGATGTCCCCATTAGCAAAAGTAAAACATCACTTACAATGAGAATTTGTGACTGCCTTTTGAAGAGGAACAGAGATGGAAAATGATAGCAGGGCTTGCCCCTGTTCGCTCTCTGTTCCGATGGTGTCAATATTCGTGCAGAGGTGTTGCAGCTTAGTCACACAGATTTGTGCTTCTTCACCCTTCTGAAACCACTCAGGTCTGTGTCCCTGCAATTCACAATTTCTTTTGTAGCCATCTGGCTTCAGTACTGCTCTTGTGGTGCGTTGGCTTCTTAAAATTTTCTTCACGAGAGCCGTACCCCGTGGATCTGCCCAGAGAGAGAGAGAGACCCGTGGAAAGCCTGTATGCAGCCACACACTCACTGGTTGGGCTACTGGCTCAGTCCCAGTTTACAAGTAATATCACTGGTTTCATCTGTGCTGGGACTGTCCCCACCCTGCATGAGTAACTCGCTGTGGATGATAACAGACCAGCCGGAGCACTTCTGTTATCTATTGTATGGGTTTCCACGCGTAATTCAAAAGCATCTTTATAAGGTAGCAACCAGATGGCTGTTGTGTAAATCATTGAAGATACTCGCTGTTTGTATCAAGATAGGAAGGATCTTTTAAAGAAAGAAGATCCTTCAGGAATGAGGGAAAGAAAGGGAAAACAAAGTAAGTTTTTAGTTGCTATATAGTCTTCAGGTTTGGTTTCCAATTCCAGTTGATCTTTAATAAACACAATAAAACCCTTCAGTCCTGCTTATGTTACAGCAACCTTTTTCTTTCTGTATTTGATAGATCTGACTTCTTTCAGAAGTAATACATGTTTGGCAAATCCTTACTACCAGTTGTATTTTATTATTATTTATTATAATGTTTTGTTTTATTAGAATAGATGACACTTTCTTGGGTAAGAAAAGATGTCCCTGTGCTGGGGGTTTTATATTGAGATGGCTCAAGGAATGCAAACTATTTCTTGCTCCTCTGCAGACATCTCTGTTACCTTTAATAAATCATGCTGGTCTCTCTGCTTTCATTTTTCACTTGCAAAATAGGCATGCTGTTGTGCATATACTACCAGAACTGCTTGGAATACAAATACATTAAACATATGGCAGGAGAAATTAGCCTGGATACTAGTAATGGCTATATTAAAAATGCCTTTAAATTATTATTTATCTATATCTGTGCAGCACCTTTTAGCCTTCGTGATCTTCCCTCGCACTTTACAGGCCATGTTCTGTATTTTCAGAGTCCCTTCTGAGACCAAGAACAGCAATTCTTGTAGACTGCTGAATGTACAGCAGTGATGAGCTGGCTTTTGGTGGAAAGCAAAATCCCTGTTTGGGTGGGGTTTTAGTTTGGGTTTGGTTCCCCTCCCCCCCCAGCCCCATTCCATGTTCATGCTGTCTGGACATCTCTGAGGACCATGGGGATTAGACAGAACTTCTGTGATCTCATCTGGAAGCACCTTGCATAGAACTGAATTCAGTTTATTTGAGCTCTGTCTGATCTTCTGTTTTAAAAAAAAAAAAAAAGTCATCGCTTGCTGTGTCTAATGTAAAGGATTTTAGAATATTTTAAGTGCTTAAAACCAGGTGATTTTAATTTTGACATATTTTTTATCTAAAGACCAAGCATACTACAGTAGTATATGTGTATTTTTCTTTTTTGGTTTTTTTTGGTTTTAATTCTCTGGCTTGTTTTAATTCTTCTATTGTTCCATTGCAGGGTAAGATTTGGTTAATAGATTTTAACCCATTTGGTGAAGTAACAGACTCCCTGCTGTTTACGTGGGAAGAACTGACCTCTGGGAAAAACTTGAAAGGAGACCAGAGTGAAGGGGAAGCAACAGAACAGGTACAGCCCTGTGGTGAGGGGGGCTGGCTTACAGGCATTAGGGTCTTTATTTATTTATTTATTTATTTATTTATTATAATCAAATTGTGATGCAAATCCCATTAAAGTAGATGGATGTCATTAACTCATGAAACATAAACTCTTTCTAAGTAGAATCTACCTTATTAGACAGTAGTTAATCTCAACAAGTATCACATGCTTTTTTTTTTTTTGCAAGGGCATTTTTAGTTCAAACAGTACAAGCCCATATTGCAGCTTTGACCATGTTGTGAAGAAGATGCCCTGAAACTTGCTTTTATGAAGTTTTGATGCGTTCTTTTCAATTTCTCTTAAAATCTGTTACTTTTCTATTTAATCACTTTAAGTTCTGCTTTGTTCCTGATATCTGTCATACGGTTTCCCAGAGCTCCAGATTTATGTTTGGGGGGAGGCAAAAAGAAGCTTAACTTCTGTCTCTTCCTCATATTGAATACCCTTAGGGAAGCCTTGTCCTCTGGTTGAACTCCCTGGACTTGCAGAGCAGGGCTTTTCTATCCCTCTTCCAAGCTGCATTGCCTGCGTAAAAACAAATAACTTCCTGTTAATACAGAGAGGGAGGAATAGCCTTCATTTATTTGCACTCCAGCTTTTTTCTCACTGCATGCTTGAGACTGAGTCCTCACGTCTTAATGAGTCCTTGGACAGCTGGATAGAAGCTATAAAGTAGCATGTTACTTGATCTTGGGAAACACTTGGTAGCTGTCTGAGCAGAAATGGCTAATCAGATAGTGTGGGCTTTTCTTTATTTTCTAGCTGTTAAACTGCATTAGAGGTAACTGAAATGCCATGTTCTATTGATGTGATTTTAACATTTGAGCTTTGCTTTAGTTCTGTTGCCATTTTCATAACGCGTTGAAAGGGAAATGCACCACTCTGCAGGTGATCATTCATGCCATTTTCTCTCCGTCACACCGTGTGGCTATTGCTGTATGAAAACCCATTCGGTGAACCTTCCTGCTAAAACCTGTGTCTCCTTTGTTAAAACACACTCCCGATCTTGAGCTATCCATGGGACACCTGAATTTTGTGTTGAGGATTTCTTTTTCTCAGTGCCAGACGCTTTATGCAGTTTTCTCTGGTGTAAGCCTGGATGAAAAGTAGAATGACTTGTCTTCGTGCTTCAGCTTGCATCCAGTCACAGAACCTGGTGTGAAGTTACTGAACTTCTGTCTTCAAAATGAAGCTGCTTATTGCCATACAGTCAGCAATTATGTTGCATGTCAGTGTGTTGAACTGGAAATTATATCAACTCACCCCAAACCTGTTGCTACAGTTGAGCATTTGGGAGGTGGTTTTGGGTATTTTATAGAGATATTTTTTGCCTTCAGTAAGTAAATTGTTTGGAAAGCTTAGATCATAGTTTCAGTAAGGTTGTATTTACAAACATGAGTTTAAACAAGGAATGTGCGAAGACAAGTTCAGGGATACTATTGTAAAGATTTTCTTTGCCCACATATTTATGTAGATACTATTGCCCGAAGTTTCTTATAGCTCCATTATTACAGCACTGTTATAAGCATATGTATATTAAATGCATTAATAATTGATACATTGTAGAAACTTTAAAGTGAGGGAATGAATGCCTTTATTGACTGTTACTAACATTTTAACTTTTGCTCTTAAATGGGCAAAGTTTTTAATAAGAAAACTACAATTTTTAGAAAGTGCAGGTTTAGTTGAATGAATGCCAAATAACTCATTAGCAAAGTGACTCAGACAGTCTCACAGAGGAGTTCAAGAAATACTGCTAGTTTTATTCACGTACACTGTTCTTGTCTTATCCAATATCTTTTCCAAAGGACTATCCCGTTTTCCGTTGTACGAACAGTAAAGTTACTGTGCAGCCTAGTCCATACCTGAGTTACCGACTGCCGAAAGATTTTGTGGACCTTTCTACAGGAGAGGATGTTCACAAATTAATTGACTTTCTTAAACTGGTAAGAAGTAGTGAAAAAATCTTCTGACCTTCCATCTTTGTGAAATGGCAACATCAAAGTGCCTGGAATTGTGCTTTTGTAATTTATATAGATTACATAATTACAGAAAAAGCCATCTTATGGTGTATTGTTGGGTTGATGGGTTTTTTTTTTTTTTTTTTTTTTTTTAAAGTGATGAAGAGGAAGCTTTCATACTGATCTCACTACAGTTAATTGATTTTATCTTTACGGGAAGCAGTGAATGTGGTTTGATAAATCTTACTGAAGGACCTAGCTGTTTTCTTTCTTATTTAAATGTAAATACAAATGTAGTATAAATAGAAATGTATTTTTTGAATGGCTGAAGTGAATGCTTTTAAGAACTTCCTTAGAAGTTAGAAGTATATTAGGAAAAAACCTTAAACACTTGTTCCTTTTTCAATACTGTTTCTTTGTTCCTTTGATGAACAGTGACAGGAAAGCATGACATCTTTGTAAACTAGGGAAGGGAGGGCACTGACTTCTGCCATCACCATCATGTTTTCTGGCTCATATATTCTGTTGGTTAACATATGGGGCAAATCTTGTTCTTTACTAGAAATAAAATCCTCTAGTTTTGGTATGAGAGAGAGGGTTGATATTGCTCTGTTCCATTTGCTGGGGACATTATCTCTTACCATTCAAAAAATGGCTTAGAAATGCAGTCATTGTCTAATATCCATTGTATCTGGAAACACTTGTCATGATTTATTAGTGCTCTTCCTTCAGATAACTGTGTCCTAACATTATGAACTCTCCTTTTCTGTTGACAGAAAAGAAATCAGCAGGATGATGACTGAGGTATCAAGAAGCATTACACTGAATTACAAGCAAGAAATGTGGCAAAAGCTGTATTTAGCATAACTATTAAGCTATCAATTTAAAGAAAACCTGCTTTTTGTAGTCAGTGGAAGAACTAAAGAGCTGTTAACCCTGTGTGTCTGTTGGTTTATATGAAAGTGTAGAAAAGCTTTTTCAGGGAAGCATGAAAGGTCAGGGTGAGTTCTCACTGGATTACAGGTTAAATGCAATTATACCATGGTGCAAGCAAACAGCAATCTGAGCGCAACTGAACGACTGCTTTCCCATCTCATAATGTGAAGATTGATGCCATTGAAGTATGCCTTCGGACTCTTCAGTGATAAATATGACAACGTTTAATGCTTGTGCAGTTGAAACATCAAGCATTCTCTGAATTTAGGTACAGTCTTGCTTAATTGTCACAAGGAAAGAATGTATTTTTTTTCTGTAGTAACCTTTTAAAACTGTAAATTTACTTTGTTTTGGGAGCACTTCTCATCCTTTCTTTATGTAAAAAAGAGAAGAAATAAATTCCTTTGTTATGAGGGCTAATACTTCATTTCAGAGAACAGCTATAGCTATAATAGACTAAGGTTTGAAAATTTTGCATTTCAGGAATTTGAAACTCTGAATGCATTTCAAGTAGAGTAATATTTTCGCAGCAGATAAAGCTATGAAACTTGTTAAACTTCACCAAATTTAATTTCATTTTCATAGTAAAGATTTCTTGAGACTTATTTTTAACATCATTACATACCAGACATCAGCTGTGGCTTTAATATAAATAGTTAAACATTACATCAACCTGTAATTTTATATGTGGACTCAGTCTTGTTTCTTTTGTATCACGTCTCTGAGTTAAGAAAATGATTACTCTTTCAGCTCTTAAAATTCTGTATTCACTTGGTACTTCTTCATGTTCACAGGATAAAAGGAAGCTTGACTAAATTTGGGGAAACAGAAGCTCTTGTTACTGATTGCTGTTATTGAGGGGGCAGGGAACAATTCCAGACAAAGAACCAGATAACGTGGGTATAGGTGTTTGCATGGCATCAGTAATTTGTTAACTGTGTGCATAATTCCTGTTGAAATGAAAGGACATTTGGAGGTGCTCATGGCCTCTGGAAGTTGTTTCTTATTTCAAACCAGTTATGTGATACTTTGTGTGTGTATATAAAGATGTTCATGTTTCTTTGTCTTGCTTTTGCTGTCAAATTGATATGGTGCTCAGTTACAATCTGTTCTTAGATGTTAAATCTGAGCTTAGATGTTAAATTATTACTTACTCTCTATTTAGCTTCAGTTTTGAATGAATACTTACTCTAGTTAAAGATTATGCAGATTAAGAATCCAGTTCTACCAAATACATTGATGAAACATCACAGATCAAAGCTCCTGGAGTCTCAGAGTACAGGATCTGCCCTACACTTGAAGCAATGGAGTCTCCTTCTCAACAGCTTTTTGTACACAAATTAGATGATCATTAACTCAGGGCTGGGCTATACCTAAGCCTGCCATACTGCAGGACTTTGGATGAGTTTTTCTCACACTTATAAGAGCAATTATTTGGGTATAAATGTTTCTGAATCAGGTAGGAACTTCAAAATGTAAAAAATCAACACAGCTTTCCTCTTTCTTTTAAAGTTTCTAGCCATAAGTTAAACTGTTGTGATGATCTAACCACGCTTCCTTTACATAGATAATGCCCTGGAATTTCCAGCAGATTCATAAATGCTTCTGAACTACAGAGTATAGTCTTTAAAAAATACTGGTTCCTGGTTTTAAGCTGTAAGATGGTTTCCTGCATCTTTTTTATGGGCTTCTCTAATTAATTTACCATTATCATAGCTTTCTGTGTTGGCTATTCACCAGAACATACACGGTGTCAGGACCAGTCTCATGGAACCCTGTGCACCCTAGAGAGTCCCTTTAGGCGAGTAAGCTGGAGTGGTAGCCTTTTAACAGTCCTTTCCTTCTTGACTTTATTATTTATCCTGAAAATGGCATTCCCAAGTGAACTGACCATCATCAGTGCAGAGCTCTTCAGTGCTGGAAGCTTTCATACGCTTGCAAGAGCTGCAGTGTTCTGTGGGTGCTCTGCATTTTTAGTTCAGCTCTTCTAGGACAACCCCATGCAATGCTACAGGCTTGGGGAAAAGTGGCTGGAAAGCTGCCCAGAGGAAAAGGACCTGGGGGTGTTGGTTGACAGTCGGCTGAATATGAGCCAGCAGTGTGCCCAAGTGGCCAAGAAGGCCAACAGCATCCTGGCTTGTGTCAGGAATAGTGGGGCCAGCAGGAGCAGGGCAGTGATGATGCCCCTGTACTCAGCACTAGTGAGGCCGTCCCTCGAATGCTGAGTTCAGTTTTGGGTCCCTCATTCCAAGAAGGCCATTGAGGGGCTGGAGCGTTGCCAGAGGAGGGCAACAAAGCTGGTGAGGGGTCTGGAGCCCAAGGTAGGAGTGGCTGAGGGCACTGTGGGTGTTCAGCCTGGAGAAGAGGAGGCTGAGGGGAGACCTTATTACTCTCTACAACTGCCTGACAGGAGGGGGAAGCCAGGGGGGGTCAGTCTCTTCTCCCAGGTAACGGGCGATGGGACGAGGGGAAATGGCCTCAAGTTGCGCCAGGGCAGGTTTAGGTTGGACATCAGGAAAAGTTTCTTCACTGAAAGGGTTGTCAAGCACTGGAAGGGGCTGCCCAGGGAAGGGGTTGAGTCCCCATCCCTGGAGGTCTAAAAAAACATGTAGACGTGGCACTTCAGGACATGGTTTAGAAGGCAGGGTGGTGGTGGGTTGATGGTTGGACTTGATGATGAGGTATTTTCCAACCTTTATGGAATCGGATGCTGGTCCAGCCCCTGGCTCCCTAAGCACCTTTGCTTGTTGCTAGCCTGTGCCAGTCCTCTGGTTAAAGGACCACGGTGATCCCATACTGGGCTGCTCCTGTCTCCTGCCCAGTGTCCTCGGGCACAGCTTTAGCCCTCTGCCCCTCATCACTTTCCACAGCCCTTTAACACACTCAAAGGCTTCTCGTTATAGTCTCTATGTGCTGGTGATCAGGGAATTTCAAGTTTGTTTTTCTCTGCTATGATTTGCTAGCAGACCAATCTGAATTGATGGACTGCTTAGCCGAGCTACCAAACACTGATAGCTGACTTTATTTCAGAGTTGCAGGAACTTAAGGCACTGTCTCTGGGCTTAGTCTTAATGAATAACCATAGAAGGTAGCTTAGCAAAAATACTCGTCCCATGATCAGGTCCTGATACAGAAAAAATCCCCACTATAAAAATCTGTTCTACATGATCAAAGTTCCCAAAATACCATATTCCTACAATTTAAAGACATACTTTATATTTACTTTACTTCTTCCTCCAACTTCAGGTAACCAGTTGTTGAATTTTTTTTTGTCTGCTAGATTAAAAACTTCTCTCCTAAAAGAATTCTCATCCCATATGACCTTTTGATTTGCGAGGATAATTGACAAACATATTCTTGCTGGGGAGGTGAGGAAGTTAATGCTGATACATTAAAAATACTTCAGTTTTAAATCGAATAGCATGTGACCCTGTTTTAATTCTATTTCAGGTCATCATCAAATCCGTTTCTGCCTCTAGCTGTCATACAGCAATTTGAAAATACAAAATTCCAGTTGTTCAGGCACTTGTTCGTGTGATTCAATATGATCATCATTTGCTGAGTAAGGGCTAACTATGTACTATACATTCTTAGTTATGTGCTTAAAACGTTATCTAAAGATACTTGTAATCTCACCTAGATGACAAACATGAGAAGTTTTAGAGGGAGGTCGCCTGCGGTAGTTTTTATACAGATCGTGTGCTTGCCAAATTTACAAAGTCTGGCTGTGTCTGAGGGCTCAAGTGTAGAGAGGCTCAGTCCTTGGACTGCAGCGCTGCCAGGGGTGCCAAAGAAAAGTATTTGTGATTTCACAGGCCATGCTTGCGATATTTAATCTCCCAGATGGATAGTGGGGATCAGGGTTCCGGTAACCCTGTCAGTAGTAGTTATTAATGTGTACCAGCTTAGTTCAGGATTTGGAATAATGCTGCTGTACTGCTGGGCTGCAGACTGTCCATTCTGTTTGTACTCCTTTGACTCTTCTTTTTCCAGGGTTGTCCATGTCTTTCCTAACCCACCAATCTAGCATTTGGGTGAACGTTAAGATTAGAATAAGCAGCAGCATGGATAATACTGATCTGAATTTTAAAACCTCTCCCTGCCCACTTTTCCCTCCCTCTTAGAAAGAGATGGTTTTGAGTGGTGCTCTATAATATCTGAAAAAAAAAAAAAAAACCACCTAAAAGTAGGGGAATAATAACCAGCTCTGAGTCTCAGTAAAATGAATACCACTTGTTGGATTCTTGTCACAGCGTATGGCTTGTAAAAATCCCAATTGAATAGAAATTTCATGTATCTCATGTGCTTTCCTGTTGCTGATATCCAGGATGCAGTGCTGGCTGGAAAAAAAGGTACGTGGTGAGATGCAGTTCAGGTGCCCATTTAAGCATTACAGACCATTAGACTGAACTGCCACGGTTCCAGGCTTTTGGGAGAGTGTTGCCAGATGAAAGGATTCCAAAATAGATCGGTGGTAGCGTGGAGGTGGGTAATAGCGTGGCACAAACCCGTGCCAAAATACTTGTGGTACCTTTGTGCATGACTGAGTTAGTTCAGCTCTCACAAACTGTCCCAAATCTGAAGTCGAATAGCTGGAGAAGACCACAGGGTATCTGTCAGTGAATATAAATAATATGCAAATCAGCTAGGCAACCAGTAAATAATTTCAACCTTAGAGGCTAAGTTTATACAATTCACGTTGTGTTTGGATAGCAAGTCTATCACTTCAAAAAATATATTGAACTAAAATACATACCTTTGCCTAAGAGAAGATGGGCCTTAAAGTGTAACACAGAAACAGACCGCAGTGCTTTTGATTCATGATGGATACTTGGTAACACTGCTATTCAGAGGCTTAACGAATCTGTCTTAGCAAAAGTTTGCCTGGATGTTGCATTAACAGTGTCTTTATTTCTGTTTGAATTTGATGACCTCTGTAAAGAGAAAGCCTCCAACTTGTGGTCATCCTGAAATTATATAGAATTAAGACAAGACTTCTTGCCATAACGGATTTTTTGTGCAAACCTGAAGCTTTCTCAAAGGTGTGGAGTCCTTAAACAGTAATGGGTGGTTATAGATTTTTATAGTAATATGAGACATCGGCACTGCAGTAAGAGTGGGTTTTTTTTGGGGTGGGGGTGGGACACCTGCTATATTTCTGTGTGCAGAGTATTATAGCGATGTAGTCCCTTGGTACCGAGCGTGTTTTGACTGCTCTAAGGTCCTCTTAATAACTGACCGGGCTTCTTCCAGTGCTGTGTTTTGTTAGGCTGCAGGGAAAGGTTGGTTGGCTGGTCGGTCAAAAATGCTGACTTCTCAGAACCTTTCTCCATGGAAGCATGCTAGTTACAAATAAACTTTCGGGAGAGATTCGTGACTCCGAAACAGCATTTCTAGCCAAGAGGAAGAAAACAATTGATGCTTGTTATTTCTAGTCTTTAGAGCTTAAATCCAGATGGTGGAGAGCCTTGAAATTTTGGGTTCTGTCTTAGCTTCTGCTACGAAACTCCATGTTCTGACAGTCTATTGCACTTCATTGATGTAAATGAATTATTCATTGGAGCTGGGACGTAAGATACAGGAGAGAGAATGAAGCAACATGTTAAGCTAAAACATCTGTACACCAGTATGAGGAATAGACAGGAGGAACTCAATGTCAGTGTATGTCAGAAATGATTGATGGGCATTGCAGAGACTTTAGGGATAAACTGTGGCACTGGAACAGAGACACCTTTGGTTTGGGAAGGGCTGTAGGCATGATGCTGAACATCAACAGTGTCTGTATTTCCAAAGCTTGGGAATCATAGAATCACAGACTGTTTTGGATCGGAAGGGACCTTTAACGACTATCTAGCCCAACCCCTGTGCCGTGGGCAGGGACATCTTGCACAAGGTCAGGTTGCTCAGAGTCCCATCCAACCTGGCCTTGAACACTTCCAATGATGGGGCATCCACAGCTTCTCTGGGCAACCTGTGCCAGTGTCTCACCAACTTCATAATGAAAAATTTCTTCTTTAATGTCAATGTACCTGACCCTCTTTCAGTTTTAAACCATTGCCCCTTGTGCTGTCACTACAGGCCCTGGTACAAAGTCTCTCTCCATCTTTCCTATGGGCCCCCTTTAAGTACTGAAAGGTCGCAGTCAGGTCTCCCTGCAGCCTTCTCTTCTCCAGGCTGAACAAGCCCAAGTCTCTCAGCCTGTCCTCATAGGAGAGGTGCTCCAGCCCTCGGATCATTTTTGTGGCCTCCTCTGGACCCGCTCCAACAGGTCCACGTCCTCTTTGTGCTGAGGGCTCCAGAGCTGGACGCAGTACTCTAGGTGAGGTCTCACCAGAGCGGAGCAGAGGGGCAGAATCCCCTCCCTTGACCTGCTGGCCATGCTGTTTGTGATGCAGCCCAGGGTACGGTTGGCCTTCTGGGCTGTGGGTGCCCATTGCTGGCACATGTCCAGCTTTTCATCCACCAGTACCCCCAAATTATGAAGTCTGGTGGAAATGGGAGGTATTTGCTACTTGGGTATCCATTGGGAAAGCAACATGGGAAGACCTGAAAAAGACAAAAAGTTAACGTGGGTTGGTTTGGGTTTTTTTTTTTTTTCAGAGGACAGAGTTTGTATGTCAGGAGGTACAGGGTGTTGGAGTTGGCTGTTCTGGATTGCACTCAGGCTCATTAGAA